CTGTGGACTCTTAACTTTGAACAGACAGTAATGTGGGGTTTTGTTTTGTCCCCACCTTCAGTTATTCCCACCATAAAGCAGCACAAGGCTGACAGATGGTAAAAAAAAAATAACTAGAGTGATTTTGAATTATTTTACACTTTAAAAGTACATTTTGTTTTTATTATGTTATTTTTTCAGGGTATTATAATTTATTTTATTTATTAAATTGTAGAATGTTCTTCAGTTTAAAATGTATGTGATCCATTGGTTAAAAATAAATGGGTCAGTTTTTCAACCTGATCAAGACTTTTCTAAGATTTTACATTACAAAACAGGTAAAAGTGTGTGACTTGTACTGTTTTGGTAACGGATCAATATCYGTATCGTATRGGAAGTGAAAAAGTTGTTTTGGGACATCCCTAATTAAAGACACTGGTTTCTAGTTTCTGATGTGAGTGTTTACATATGTAGATGATAACACACATCTGCTCATGTTTMACAGCTGGGGGGGCTGCTTTCCTTCCAGCCCCTGTGGTTCTGAGTCTCTCCCGGGAGCCTGAACCCATCCAGGTGGTCCTTCTCCAGGACAGTGGTCCAACCTGGAGCTTCAGCCAGGAACTGCAGCAGAGCAGCCTCCCTCAGACCCTGCTGCTGCTGCTTCCTGCTGRTGGTCTGTGACGAATGTGAAATAATGGATTTTTGGTTTTGTGGGCAATAATAGAAAGAACAAAAATAAAGATTAATCTGCTCATTACCAGGACGAGTTAAGCCCGACTGAATCCGCCCCAAAATTCTCCACACAAACTCCCCGTGAGAGCGTTTGAGGCTGGTGATGGGTACAAATGACCCAGATATGATTTGTCATTAAAAACGGCAACGCGCCTAAATTATAATTCAGTAACAAGGAGACGAGCGCTGCGTGTGTGTTGGAGAGCTGTCCTTGAGCTGCTGGCAGACGAGATGGATGAGCTGTAATTACACTGATGGAGAGATGATGGGAGGAGAGGAGGAAAGGAGGGAGGAGGAGAAACAAGGTTATGGACATATGCGTCCCCGTACGAGGACTTGGACGACTTCCTGCTGGAGGTGGATGAGAACAGGTGAAACTAACAGCTGACTGATTTGACTTTTAAATCAGGATCACAGCAGACACCAGCAGGCAGCGTGAYGCCCGGGAAGGAGCAGAAAACACCTCAGTACGTGGCCTGACCCGGGTTGTTTGGTTCTGGARGGACAGTGACCCAGATCTGGTCCAGGTGTGCGAGGGAAAAACTGGTTCCAGAGGATCTCAGAGGTTCAGGTCAGCCAGAAGGTGCTGATTATTACAGGAAGACTTTTAACAAAACATTCTCCCAGGAGTGGRAGCAGATTCACCCTGAAGGTCAGACCGTGCAATGCTCAGAGAAATGATATTTTTTGATTTCTTTAGAATTTCTTTTCTATTCATAATCCAGTGTTTTCTTTCCTAAAGGACACACACAAAAAGATAATTTCACTCGGAAAAAGAAGAAATTCTATCAGAGCCTGAGAGTTTAAATGAAATGGTWTTTGGCAGATGTTGATGGTCTTCATCTGTCTCAGAGCTGCTTGTTTGGATTCCCAACAGGCCTATCACACCTTCCAGATGGACAAAAAGGATGTAATGAAGCCATATCAACCTGGAAAGCAGCTAATTAATTACTTCTTATCTTTTAAAGAGAAACAACYGCACTATCTTCAGTTCACATCTTAATTACAGTGTCACCTTGAGATAACGAATGTTTCCGACTTAATTATCGCATCTGTGTATGTTTAATGGATCTCTTTACGTACAGACCTTTAAGAGTTCAGACTGGAGGTAATCCAAGTCCTGATCATGTTCAGAGCTCAGAGCCACAAGTTCAGAAACAAGAATCTAATCATGTGAGAGTCAGGAGTGTGTCGTTTTTTTTTAGCAACACAATTGTGTTGATCTTGTTGGGATCAAACCATCGAGTTTACCAAAGAGATCAAACCAGCGAGCTAACCAAAGGGATTAAACCATTGAGCTAACCAAAGGGATCAAACCAGCGAGCTAACCAAAGATATCAAACCATCGAGCTAACCAAAGAGATCAAACCATCGAGCTAACCAAAGAGATCAAACCAGCGAGCTAACCAAAGAGATCAAACCATCGACCTAACCAAAGAGATCAAACCATCGACCTAACCAAAGAGATCAAACCATCGACCTAACCAAAGAGATCAAACCATCGACCTAACCAAAGAGATCAAACCATCGACCTAACCAAAGATATAAAACCATCGACCTAGCCAAAGATATAAAACCATCGAGCTAACCAAAGAGATCAAACCAGAGATCAAACCATCGAGCTAACCAAAGAAATCAAACCATCGAGCTAACCAAAGAGATCAAACCATCGACCTAACCAAAGAGATCAAACCATCGAGCTAACCAAAGAGATCAAACCATCGAGCTAACCAAAGAGATCAAACCATCGAGCTAACCAAAGATATCAAACCATCGAGCTAACCAAAGATATCAAACCATCGAGCTAACCAAAGATATCAAACCATCGAGCTAACCAAAGAGGAAGTCCTTGGTATAACTTGTATAACTGGTCAACAACCTGAGCAGTGATTGACAGCTGACAGGTGATCTTTACAACCCTCTCCCCAGGTCAGTGAACAAAAATAAATGTAAAATCTTTGCAGTTGTTTCAATACATCTTGGACGCCAACGCTGTTAGCTGCTCAGTGAGACACTAGCTGAAGACCTGTGAAAAAGTTTTGTCTTATTTCTGAAGTGCTCCAACACCAGATAATGCCGGCTGCTGCTGAGAAAATTACAGGAAATGAAAAACCTGATAACTGAATCTGTAAAAGTGCTTGCTCCCTGAAGATTCAGAGGTCAGAGTTATTAAGTTGCACCGCAGACACGAGGTCAAACGCTGGCCTCTTTTAAATGCTGCATGTAAAAACAATTCTGTGAAATGTCAACGAGTTGCCGGAGCGTTTCACCCCAGTACAGAAAAATATACTCAGAAATATAAAGCCAACTCATTCCTTCTGACTTGTTTTCTCTTGGAATCTGTAGTCATTATTCCCCAATCAGAGCTTAATTATGTCAATTATTGTCTGATGATGACAACTGTGGCTCATATTTCATGTTTTAACCCCTGAGATGAGGACTGATTGATGTGAAACARGGTTTGAGACGATGCTGAGAGAACAGAACTCAGTGCTGGGTTTCATCAGAGACTCTCTCCTCTCAGACTCGACAGCCACGAGTCCCAGAAGAGTCAAAAATGACAGAAGAAGAAGAGACACAGAATCAACAACATGGGGTGTTTGGTGTACAACGAGGCAGTTCAGTCGCACACAGGCTGGGGCTTTAGAAAGAAAAACCCAAAAAGCAGTTTCTTATATCGTTTGGTGGGTCTTTTCTTATGTTTGTCATGCCTGCTCCTCACATACGGTTAGAAAAACCCAGCTAATAAATACATGAAAACATGCAGCTCCATCAGGAGCAGTGTGCGTCGATCTTTGGCAGCGGTACAACGAATGACTCAAACAAAACTGGCGTAAAGCTGAAAGAGATCCAGTGGTAAAACCCGGTCCTGTCTGGACCTACAGCTCAGACTTCACAATAAAACATCTTTTAAAGATCTGTTAAACGGGTCACAAAGAGCTGGACTTTACAGGACTGAACTGTTTTCACATCTTTAATGCTTTTCACTTAACAGAACGTTTCACTTAGAGTCATGATGTTTGAGCAAACAAGATCTTATTACTTGTAAAGAGAACACATCGTAGCACGGGGAATTACGTCTTCATTCAGTCACACTCTTCCTGGGACAGGACTAATGGTTTTCAGTGCAAACATTATATATCTGAGCTGAATATTCTCTCTTTATCCTGTCAGTCTGCAACATAAAAACTGTAAATATATAAAACTTTTCATACGCAGAGAACACAAGCTTCTGATGCTTTAAGAGTTTTCTGGTTAACACTTGTTTTTTCACAGCGACTGAAGCTGAATGAGTTTACTGGACAAAAAGCGGGGCTGTAAGCTCCACCTCCTCCTCCTGCRCTAAAGTAAAGAAGGTTATTTAATTGTCATTTTGTTCATGACGACTGCCAGTGGTGGGCACAACTAACCAAAGTTAGCTTCATTAACCACTAAACCACTAAACAAGAATCTTAGCTCCGCTTAACGCTAAACTGCTGAACAGATAAAACACCGTAAAAGTGGAAGCTAATGCTAACTGCTAACCACTAAGAGGACCGTCAGTTGAATAGTGGGACGGACACAAACCTGTTACTAGTTTTCTATTGGTTTAATCTGAAGGTGGGCGGGATCATCTGTGGTAAATCAGCCAATTCGAGAGTTATAGCTCTTTCTAACTTTTGATACTTTCAGTTTAACCCTTTCAGAATAAAAGCATTTATTTGATCAGGTTTGTGTTTTTATAAAAACTGAAGTTTGTCCAACAAATAAAAACTTTATCATATTTTATTTGGTCCATTTGTCACTTAAAGATTGTTAAATGTTATTTTATTTCTTTGATGCCCTTAGTTTGAAGTTTAGCATTTAAAGATGCTACATGCTAACACAGGGTGCCTGACACGTCCAGCACTGCTTGTAAGWGGGGATAGGTTTATTTAATCCAGGATAAATTACATAAACATAAAAAAAGTATTATACTTGCGCATGTTTTAGTGGGCTTAAATTTAGTGGAGCCTAAAATGATGGAAGCTAATTGGTCCGCTAACGGTTTCCAAAGTCAACAAGAAAGCTAATCCGRTAAATGAGATGCTAGTTACGCGATTAGCAGAACTGTGACCATCACTGATGACTGCAAAAGTAAAATATCCTTTTAGATCTTAAGTTCAGGAGAACTAAATGAAACCCTCTGCAGAYTATTTAAGTTTCAAACAATTCAAGGTCCAAACAGGAAGTGGTTTTAGCCGGGAGTTTGAAATGAAGCCCTGATTGTTGTGGCAGTGAGGATGCGCAGTAAGATGCGTGGGACTGACCGTGACACCGCTGTCCGTCTCCGTCTCCCTGTAGGTGAAGTTGCAGACGGCCCAGGCCAGGTAGTACGTGGACATGCGCGGCGTGCGGGCGAAGCGGTTCGTCACCCAGCCGTCCTCGTCCGACAGCGAGCTGGCCTCCACGGGCATGTTGGACAGAGACGTGTACTGCAGGTCGTGGCGGAGGCTCAGGGAGAACGTGGCCTTGTAGACCGGCTCGTCGAAGCAGGGGAAGGCCTTCCGGGCATGGATCGGACTGAACTGAGTCACCGCCAGATACCTGGGCAAACAAACAAATCTGTCATCACCAAACATGTTTAAAGCAGTAAAAACACTCTTTAACTAGAGAATTTGCATTTCTGGCGAAAATGCTAGTGTGAATGCTTCTTGCTGATAACTTTAGCTGAAGCTAAGAAACAAATTGATGTCACTGATGATGTCACTGATGTAACTGATGATGTCACTGATGTAACTGATGATGTCACTGATGGCATCATCATCATCAAAATTGTAAAAATTGAAATTGCTAAAAAACTATAAAAATTTAAGATACCAAAAATCATATCCGGCATGTCCTGAATGAGCTGAACATTTTGTTATATGAATGGTTTAAGTAGCATAAAAATTGTGGAAGGAGAAGCCGTCCAAAAAATGTACCCATTCAAAGTCAATGGGAAAAAAACTGCTTAAAAATTGAAATAGCTAAAAAACTATAAAAATTTAAGATACCAAAAATCATATCCGGCATGTCCTGAAGGAGCTTAACATTTTGTTATATGAATGGTTTAAGTAGCATAAAAATTGTGGAAGGAGAAGCCGTCCAAAAAATGTACCCATTCAAAGTCAATGGGAAAAAACAAAAAGTTGTAATTTCATTTTTACCAGTAAATGAACAATAATTTGAGGTTGATGTAACATTTTATAAGTGAAAATGTTACAGATAAATACTCTGAAGGAGCTTGTTTTAAAAGCTGCTAGCATGACGTTAGCTTCCTGCTAATTTCACGCTAGCCAAAAGCTTCTCATGAGGTTTATTATTATATAATGACAATTTATGAGAATATTACTTTAAAGTAACATTAATTAGAGCTGAAGGTTTGTAACTGAATATTAATACATTTTGCAAAGCTACAACTTACTGCTTGTTTTTAGCCTTTAAGCTAAGCTAAACTAGCTAAGGCTTACTTTTTTGATTGATGATTGATTGGTGATGCCGTGTCATTGTACGGCGCACAATGAAATTACATTTAAGATTTAAGATTACATTTTTACCCACTAAACTAAGTGAAATAAACTGATTCCTGAGGTCTATTTTGTCTTTTTAAAAACAGTAATTATATCTCTAACAGTTATCTTAAGGAGGCTGGGTTTAATAAAGCAGCACCAGGGTCTAATAAATGATAAATAGTTTGATGTGAGCTTTAAAAGATGTATATTCTTAGAAACTGTTTTAAGAGAGTCTGGGGACTTCAGAGCTCCACAGCAGTTTCCAGTTTTCCTTTATTAAAACTTAAACCTTTGCTATAAATTAGAAAACCTTGTGGCTCATTCACCAAATCCCAGCTTGTTGGTTTTTTTTTTATTCTAACTTGATAAAGAAGAGTTTTTCATTACTTTTCCTGCACGTTTTCTTCTCTTCTAAGGACTTTTCTTCTCCCTCGACACGCTCAGCTTTGAGCTTTCATTTACTTTTGTTTCATCTCTCTCCCTCAGTTTAAGGTCTGCCTGATACCTCGGAGGATCCAACAGTAATCGTCTCCAGGAGGGGAAAAGGAAAACAGACGACATCTGTTCCTCCACAGCTGTTCATAACTTGGGACAAAACTCTGCTGCTGGTTTTTGACTTGATTTTATTTTTACTTTAGCTGCTGACTGAATCAGTGTGCAGAGGGAGTGATTTGATCTGGATGCAGTTTGGTCCACATGAAGACCAGTGAGGAGGTGAAGGTCTGCAGACATGTGACAGGAAACGTTACTTAAAACCATCTCTCCTCTTTGGCTTTTGGCACCATCATGTTGACTTTTAGTTTGTTTTGAGATGATTTTAACTTGTTTTAAGTGTTTGTTTTATTGTATAGTTTTATTCTTTTATTATGTACTGTTGTGTATGTTTTATTGACTGTGACTGTACAGCACTTTGGTCCTATGGTTGTTTAAGTGCTTTATAAATAAAGTTGGTGTGGTATGTGGGTCATGTTGTGGGTCTGCCTTGGGCTGGGTGGTCACAGTGCTCCAGTGTTGGAACCAATGGGTCCATGGGGGCACTGACACTACAGGTGTTTATGCATGGCCCGGCCCGGGTTCAAACCTGGGTTCAGAGGTTTTGCATGAGCCCATTTGGCCCAGGTCCACCCTGATTTCTAAAACCTCACGACCCCTGATTTTATCTGGGCTGCCCAGCCTGATATGATGCCTGACTTTCACACAAGATGAACAGCAGAACGATACCATTAACTACCATTAGCAAAACATTAGCCAACATTAGCTACCATTAGCGAACCTTAGCAAACCATTAGCTATCATTAGCTACCATTAACTAACCTTAACAAACCATCATCAAACATTAGCTACCATTAGCAAACATTAGCCAACCTTAGCAAACCATTAGCAAACCATTAGCCAACATTAGCTACCATTAGCTAACCTTAGCAAACCATTAGCTATCATTAGCTAACCTTAGCAAACCATTAGCTATCATTAGCTACCATTAACTAACCTTAGCAAACCATCATCAAACATTAGCTACCATTAGCAAACATTAGCCAACCTTAGCAAACCATTAGCAAACCATTAGCCAACATTAGCTACCATTAGCTAAC